ATATCCCAGTGTAATTTTTGTTAAGGAAAGCGCTGGTTTGTCTTGACTTGGCCATAATCGAAGAACTAATTTTTCAAATGCTAAAGGTTTTTATGGTTTGTTTTGAAGATAAATCATCGAAAGACATTAATTGTCAAACAAATACTTCCCAAGTTAATTAGTTAAACAAGCTTCTTCGGTAATAACGGTTAAATTAAGGAGCCAGAAAAAAACTTTAAGCAAACGAACCCTATCTTTTTTACTCCGAAAAGAGTAAATGAACTTAAACCGTGCTGACAAGGAGAAGTACTAAGACCAAACAAAAGGGATTTTAAAAAACGCTGGTAAAATAAGTGAAAAGAAAAGGCACACAGTTGAATGAAATATTTATTTTCCGACTTCTCGAGACGGGGATTTTAATATGCATGAGATGTGATAAAACGTTTGCAAACGTTCCAATGGTTGGCAGTTAGTCGAAAATAAAATTATTTTAATAGCAAAAGAAGCAAACCTTCGGTGGGTTCAATTTACGTTCACTGTTCCTAACTGGTTGAATTGTTCCTATTATATTTATTTGCGTTTTCTCCGGACCAATCAAAAAAAGGAATGATCTGATGAGAACTTTATAAGTTTATCTGTCTTACTTCGTTTACTAGATACATTTAAAATCATCAAAGTAAACTTAAAATTTCACAATTAGTTATTAGTTTAAAGTATATTTCAATATTTAAAGAGGAACCGATAAAGAAACTTTGAAAAGTCGATTACTATATGCGTAAAGACTGCACGTTTGACTAAAACTGCCACTAAGATATATTAGTAGCCACAGGTGAAGACAGAAGTTAAGAAATATAACTGCCTGGGCTAAGAAAAAATCTAGAGGAATCAGGACTTCCATCGAGTGGCTTTTTTGTCTGCATGAGAAAAGTTAGAAAGAATGAAAAGTTGCAATTTCTAACAAAATATAACGAAGATAGATTTCGGTTTCATCACACGTGTCAAATATGCTAACGTGACGTTCAATCTCATATGTGCTTGACTGTTTATTTTCATGACACCATTTTCTTGTTAGATGGGGCAGCTGGTTAAAACCTTGGGTTATTTTGTGTCAACCACTTAGTGTGTTTGATATTTTTTTGAAAACCTAGAACATTTGTTACAAGCAGACAATGGAACGTAAGAAGTATAGACACCTAGAAAGACCACATTTGCTAAGAGGCGTGATGCAACAAACGGTACCTGGAATTTGAATGAAAAGCTTTGCCAACAAATCATTCACTTACATGTTTGCCCTGACCTTGAACTTAGTTGATTAACGGTTCAGTTCTGTCTCGCGGCCATATGCTCTGGGCAGGAGAATTCACATTTCAAAAAATCCGTTCCAAAAGAATGGCCTAAATATTAACCATATCACAGTCAATGCAGAAATTCCAGAAGTACAGTCGATGATCTATCTGATGAAATGTGAAGATCAACATTTGAATGGGGGATTTAGCATATATTTGGGCTGTTTATTTTGTTAATTGAGTTGACATGAGGCGCAAAATACTGTTTACTAGGAAAGAGTTTAATTCAAATCAGTATAGTGTGGGCAAATAGGGGCGGAGTGGGGCCAAATCCAGCGTTTGTTGATATCCCAGGAATTTCCTACGCTATTAAACGCTGCGGAGAAAACTCCTTGTTTGTGCGTGTTTTACTAAAGGAGAAAAATAAAAAACCGGAAACTTTTTAATAATATATATTCAGTAAACATACAATTTCGTCTTGCATTCATGAAACTGAGGTAAGTGCACGGATGAAATAACGCATTATTCTCTAAAAAATAAGAGCGAGTTAAGTTTAAAATTCTATTTTGCAAATCTGCTAAGTTTTGTACCATAAAATTAAGCAATTAACTGAAAAAATCTGTAATTTATTTAACCACACCGAAAATAACGATCATAAACAAACAAACATGCAAACATCCGAGACATGGAGTCCATGCTATCCGTTAAGCTGTAAGCAAAAGATGTCCAAACAGTTTCTGTCTATAGAGCAGAATCAGTGAATATAGAAAAAATTGAACGGAAGGGGCAGAAGATTATTAGTTTTCTCAAAATCGTCGTTGCTATTCTGCCATTCTACGCTGCATATTCCATCCCAGACCTGAGCCTAGAAGTAAACAAACATACTGAAAACTGTTCTGGTATGCATAGAAAAGTGAGTTCCTTCATTCTCAGCAGGAGCTATACACCATATTTGTAGGCCAAAGTTTTCCAAGTTGATCTTGACTTAATCTTCGAAAAGAGGAAATTACGCATAGATTCAACGCCGAAATACCTACTTAAAGCACTTTTTCAAAAGTTAAACTCTTATAGAAAGCTTTTTAATTAATCTTATGCATATTGATTTGTGACTTTTGTTGTGGATGTTCATTTTTCTCGGCAATGTGTTGACATGTTTGGGTGATTCTAAAACCATGACCCAAACAGACAGTTGCATAAGAATGTTTATAAACTCCTTAATTAGGCAACC